TCTCTCTTTGATTAGTTTCCAACCATTGTTTCTTGTCCTGCCCTCTGGTGCTTTGGACAATAACTTGACCCTTGTTTGTGGCAGCCCCTCAAATACTGGAATCACCCACCTTTAATTCTTCTTTTCGCTAGATTAGCCAAACCCAAATCCTGCATCGGAAAAGACATTCAAGAGTCTGCCTAATGTTTGCTACTATAGAGCAGTGTTTACCAACCTCAGTCATGCTGGCTAGGGAATTCTGGGAATTGAACTCCACCCATCTTAAATACACAAACACACTGCTCTTGCCTAGACCAACATGGGTCTCCTCCAACAACCTGTTCTGGCAGGCAGGGAGAGAGAGGATGCTCCTTGCCAAAAGATTAATGGACCTGGAAAGAAACTAGGAGAGTATTGTGCAAATCTAATTTTTGGGGATTGGAAATGAATTAGTAAAGATGTGTTGGAAGGAAAATCCCAGGTCCAGTTCCAAGCCGGGAGAAAGGAAATAAAATGGAGGCTGATTGGAAAAGTTTTCTTTATTGATGAAGCAGAACCACCCACCATGTGATTCTGGGATAGCTGTCAAAAATAGAATTTAGAGTTGGGTGGGTTTTATACCTTCTGGATTCCTATGGGGTCATGGCTGGCTCTATAGGCAAAAGGGGAAATGCAAATCCTAGGTGTTTGTCTTAGCTAATTTTGTCAACCTTTGGCTTCATTGTGGTGCTTATCTGAAACTTTTGCCTAACCCAGTCTTTCTGAATGGATTACCAAATTTATTTATTTTATTTATTTATTTGGTTTATCAAGTATGTATGAGAAAACAAGGATGAATATAACATATAAATATATAAGCAGGTATACGTAAGAAATGAGTACAAATAAATGGGGACAGTAGGCACGCTTGCGCGATTATGCACGCCCCTTACAGACCTCTTAGGAATGGGGAGAGCTCCAGGGTAGACAGTTGAAGGTTAAAGTTATGGAGGTTTGAGGATGTAACAAGGTGTGTCAGGTTCCAGGCATTGACCATTCTGTTGCTGAAGTCATATTTTCTTCAATCGAGTTTGGAACAGTTTCTATCTATTGTGAGTTTGTATCTATTGTTTGCTCCTGTATTATTGCAAGTGAATCTGAAGTAGTCATTGACAGGACCTGCAGCAGATAATTTTGTGTACTATGCTTAGATCAGACCTAAATCACATTAATATAAACTGGCCGCCTCAGTTTCTGCTGGGGGCAGGGAAACGGGCTAGTTTCTGCCTCCTTTAAAGTTTTTTTTTTTTTCATTTCTCCTTTAGGGGAAATATTCTGCCTTTTTAATATTGCCCGAAATATTTCATTCTTCTGGGAGGGAGAGGGTTCATCACAGATGCAATGCAAACCCAAGCAAGTGAGCATCACTCGCATGCCCCTTTTTTGCTTCTCCCAGCGGAGCCCGGCTATAACCACCGATTGGTAGCAAGTGCAGGCACCCGCCCATGACTCTGCTCGACCGACCGAGCGAGTGAGTCCTCCGGGCCGTTTCGCAACTCCTCATCTCCTCCTTTCCCGCCCTCCGCGCTCCCAGCCAATCACATCGCGTTCGCAAAGCTGTCGGTCACGGGCTTCAAGTCTGAGGGCGGGGCTCTAGCGCGTGATCACGTGAGCCGGTCGCTCGGCGAAGGGAGAGGGAGGCCGGCAAGATGGCGAAAGTCTCGGAGATGTACGACGTGACTTGGGAAGGTAAACCGGCGGCTGTGGAGCGGGGGAGAAGGGCGGGATAGACGTAGAGAACTGGGGTGCTTACGACGTTTCTTTGGTTGCGTGTGGGAAGTTGTTCGCAGCTCCGGAGGTGCGACTGGGGGGACGGGGGTGGGTTTCTATTCGCCGCTCGGAAACCTCTCTCGTCTCCGCCGGAGGGGGGAAAGTGCGTTGGGAAGCTCTTGCTAGGTGCAATTCTCAAAGACAATTTACGCATAATCTGGAGTAATTAACCCTGTAATTGCCTTCGCATCGTGTCATTTGCGTAGTGTGCTCAAAGCTATCTATAACCTTTCACAGTTCTGTTTAAAGGAGAAAGGATGGTGGTGGTGGTGGTGGAGTCTGATCCACTGGGAAGTTACCAATATAAAATAACAATCCCTAATTTGATCCACTCCGGAGACCCTTGGCGCCTTCTATCCCAAGAATTCATATCAAGGGGGAAGGAATTGTATAGTGAAGAACCTGGAATGTGAAGGTGAAGTATTTCACGTTTGCCTGTGTTGATTTTTCTCCCCCTCCAGGTTTCTTTTCAAAGCTGTCAACCTTCTAGAAAGCTTTTGCCAGTTTTTCCATGGTTCCTTGAAAGACAGCCACTTGCTTGGGTTGGCACATTGGTTCAAGCTACACTATTGCTTAGCATGAGGTGTAAACCAAGCATTTTATGAATCAAAATTCATTGTAAAAAAGGAATACATGATCAAAAGCGTGTTGCATGATCCATGGTCCCTTATACTCTGCAGTGGAGATGTTTTTGGGGAACATAATCTGTCTGGTTTGCTTTCAGTGATGGGATAAGCAGTAATAAGATAATATAAAAGTAGTGTGATCTTGTGTGTGTAAAATTAGAGTGCAGGGAATGGATGTTAAAGGGAATGGTCTGCCTGCTTTTTTTCTTTTTTATATATTAATATGTATACTGAAGCTCAGTAAAAATTGGAAATAGTGGCAATGTGGATATGCTTTCACTTATCAAACTTTCAGAACAACTGTGAAATATGAACGTAGGCAAGTTATTCAAATAATGTTCAAACATAAGACTTGAATCTTAACATGGAATGCAGCTTTGGGATACAAAATATACTGATATTTAATTATTATGAAGTTTGGGTATATAGAGAACTAGCCATAGATCTGCAGACTTGATGTGGTTTGATGTTTTGGTAGTTCTTCTGAAATCAGGATAGTTAATAGGTGAATTTATTTATTACAGACTGTAAGCTACTAGTCTCTAAGAATGAAAAAAATAGCTTCAAGTTCAGTTCCTATTCTCTATAAAAAATGTCTACAATATTCACAATGGAAATGCCTCAGCACTTCCTAAAGAAATGGTTGATTTTCATATTTCTCCAAAGAGTCCATGGTAGCACCTGTTATCTTCGCACATTCCTTTGAGGGCAATTAAATAAAAGTGACTAAATATAATTTGCATAACTGGGCCCTATGACACAGTGGAAGACACAGATAGCAAAATACTTTTGTCTATTTACCTGGAGGTAAACCGTGTTTATCCTCTAAAAATATGTGAGATTGTAGGGTATTTATTTTGTCTTTTCATGGTG